CTGCATCTTGTTTACACCCACAACGATGGTTTGATACTAAATCTACACAACAATATAATTTCTCTCGGTGAGCTGTTTTTATTAATGTATTTAACTCTATAGAAGAACCATAATGGCTTTCTAGTGAATACCTATATACAACACACACACAAACCCTAAACCCTAAACCCTAAACCCTAAACCCTTAAAAGTTTTTTTGGCTTTTGCGGGATCGATGTGCGAAAAAAGGGTTTTGATCGGGATACACTGTCGATGGGATACAACACAAACCCTAAACCCTAAACCCTAAACCCTAAACCCTAAACCCTGAACAGTAAACCCTAATATTTAACAATATATTTCCGTTGTGGATTTATAAAGAATACATACAGCATAACACACATATCACACAGTAAACCCTAAACCCTAAACCCTAAACCCTAAACCCTAAACACTGATCTTCTAATGATCGAGCACACAGTTGAAAAACCCTTTTTTTTTAGTGAAATAATTTATTTTTAAATATTTTATTTAAATATTAATTTAAATAAAAACATAAAATAAAAATAAAAGCAAAAAAAACGATAAAAAAAGAGCGAAATTTCAGGTGTATATGCAGCCTTCTAGATCGATGCATTCAGTCGGCGGCGGGTGGAAAGCTGTAGTAAAACGGCCATTTTTCATGCAAATTGATTATTTTTTTCGCATTTTATATAAATATTTATAAAAAGAATAATATAAACCGAAAAAAAAGAGAAAAAAAGCGCAAAAATAGGGTGAAAATTGGGGTGTATACGCACCATTTCGTCGGCATATATCCTTCTAGATCGACGCATTCAGTGGGTGGAGGGAACCAAATAATGGTGATTCCTAATTGTTTAATATCTTTTATTTTATTTATTAAAACTTTATACCATCCTTCTTTATTTTTTGCGCTATTCCAGTTAAATCCCTGCAACATAATATGCGTATATTCATCAACCAAAGAAGGTCCGCGTACACCCCAATCTGCTCTTACATTTAAACTCTCAGATAATAAACCCTCAATATATACACACTCACCAACAGCAGCAGCAGCAGCAGGAGATGCTGCTGCTGCTGCTGCTGCTGCTGCTGCTGCTGCTGTTGCAGAGGAAGAAGAAGGGGATGCGGCTGTTGATGCTGTTGAGCTGCTGCTGCTGCTGTCGTTGTTGCTGCTGCTGCTGCTGTCGTTGTTGCTGCTGCTGCTGCTGTCGTTGTTGCTGTTGCTGCTGCTGTCGTTGTTGCTGCTGCTGCTGTCGTTGTTGCTGCTGTTGTTGTCACTGCTGCTGCAGCAGCTGCTGCTGCTGCTGTCATTGTTGCTGCTGCTGCTGCTGCTGCTGCTGCTGCTGCTGCTGCAACTATCACAATTGCCATTGCTGCAATCCCTCTCCCCATCCCGCTGC